TACCATAAGAAATTACTTCAATGACACCACTCCCCCCCACCACCGCAAAAGGTGTGAAAGGAAGACATGCTTGAGTTTTATCTTAACCTTGGATTCCATCGTGTCAATCTCTTCTCCCATTTCTGGCTCTTAGATTCCATTTGGCATCAGATATGATGAGAAGTGGTTGCTGAATCTGATTCAGAAGCAATGCAGTATCTCCTTCACCCCAGTTGAAGTAAGAGAAGACAATGCGACAGATGAGAAGAAAGAGGGCAGATGAGCAGTGGCTTGGGCCTCATATTCTGTTTCTTCTGCCATTCTCCCTACAGTTTCACTATGAGAAAATGCAGGCCCAGTTCTTTGTTGAGAATGCCGACATTGCCTTCGCACTGAAGAGTGTCAACGGCACGATCTGGGATGAGAATAATGAAATGGTGTGTGTCAAGGGCGTGGCCAGGGCTAGTTAGAGGCAAGGTGGCAGGACAGGGGTAAGGTCTTGCTTTATCCCAAGGCTCAGAATTCCTGGTGATTAGCCAGCTCCTCTTGGGTCCCCTACAGATATCTGTCTTTGTCCACCCCTCTGATGCACCCCAGTCTGTGCAGAAGGAGCTGAAGCCAGAAAAGGTGGACCAGATAAAGGTAATGCAGACTCAAGACCAGTTGTGCATCCGTATCCAGACCTACATCTTCTTCCTACACCTATTGCCCCCACCCCCCGTCTCCACCTCAGACTCAGAGCCACTGACCCCATCTCTAACTCTACAGCTGACCATGAACAAAAGATATGTAGTCTCCCAGCAATCTCTTGACATGCAGAGAGTCTGTTTGCCCCTGGTACATCTACAGCAGTAGTTCTAGGGCGGGTAAGAGCAGAGGGGCCTGTCTGGAAAGGAGACTTAGGGATGGTAATGTGGGGAGGGGTTGGTGCTGGAGCTGTACCAGCTGGGCTTCTCTCAGCCTTCTGATTCCCTCCCCTCGGCTTCTTGGATACTTGATCATCAGTGAAATTGAAATGATACCAAATCCTAGAAACGGCATGGCTGCCTCCCGGCAAGCTCATGAAAAGAACATGCTCAAGGTGAGGACTCAAGCCCAGTGCTTGGATTGATGGCGAATGTGTGAGAGATTAGGTAGAAGAGGCAGACTGGTCGCAGATATCCCCTGTTGGGGTCCTCACTCTAACTCTTTCCTCATCATAGCTTTTGCCCTCAAACCTGAGGGACAAGAAACCCTACCAACTGGATGGCCTATCCAACACTATGCAGAATGCCTCCAGCATCAAGGACTTGAACCTCTCCAACAGTGAGGTAAGGCGTGGTACCGGATCCTTCTTTGAAAAGAAGGTGAGAGTGCTCATGGGGTGGTGGCGAGAGTCAGGGAAGTGGATTTGTTGGAAA